CACCTCTTTAAGGTTTATTCTCAAGTGATAGTGCAGGCACGACTTTGTTAGACAGAATGTGACATTTGTTCAAAGAATAATTGCAAGTTGTTGTTGAAATTTGTTTTGTTCTGCCAATATGTTCAGTTTTATCATTTTGTTTTTGCTATCAGCAACATACCTTAAGTACAATTAAACAAGAAATTTGACATATTTTTTCTTTTCTTTTTATTTAAAAAAAGGATAACTCCCGCATTAGGAATATCTACATACACTACACTATACTAGCGACTTGACAAACATACATGAAACGCACACAAAGAACACCCATACTCAGAACAACAATTTGTGGATCACACAAAGTGGTCGACAATCTGTTATCGAATTGCCTTGAGAGTCCAAAGGCCTTACATAACATAATTCTAGTGACAGAATAACAATATTGGAAGCATATATAAAAATTCAAATTCCTTATCCACCTCTGTTAAAATAGAATTTCGTAAAAACCGTCCTCACTAGATGCTTAGATTATAAGAAATATCATTTAACAAAATTTGAAATTTGTAGGCCTCAAGGTTGAAACTTTCGGTATATGTATAACTGTCGCTTTCTCCTCTTATGTATTTAAAATCATTCAGTATCAACCCTACAACCGTCCCGACAGACCCACGCCATACCCATCTCGTTGTCCGATATGTTCGCGATCGGGCGATTGTATGTCATTTGTCTTACCTCCGTCGCTCTATTTATCATGGCAAGCAACGATTTCTCTTGTCAACATGTCGCCTTTTTGATACTTAGAAGTCTTTTGTTTGTGAACGCATTTGTAAGGGTACTCACTATTTTCTTATACTGGAAGAATAAGAAAATATATAGCTTAAGGATTTGACCTTGTAATGGGGAACTTAATTTCAGATCAATTATTTGAGTGATATCGTTTTTAATGGATGCGATGTAGTTTTAACAAAAATTATGATTTGGCTCTATCTTTCAACTTTTGAGGATGTCAGAAGGAATAAAGAAGTGATATAACCAGAGTATTTTCATTTAGTCAATTGCGAGTGTTTTAAAGACACAGGAAAGATGGACGTGCTTTTTAATATCAATTCGTGAAACTAGTTGTGCCGCCACTTTTCGTCTCCCAGTACTAATCTGTGGAACAAATTATCGTCTGCGTTCGTGACTCCTGAGCTGCAGGCGTTCTTGTGCGGCGGTAGTCACTTTCCATCAGGCGACCCGTCTGCTCGTCTGCCCCCTCTTCCATAAGAAAGGCAATTTTTATGATACATTCATCATGGCTGACTATTGTTGTCGTTAACTTGCTTTAAGTGGTGATAAACCTCTTAAGTTATCTTAAAATTCTTATCTTTTTATATAAATAACATAGTAAATAAACATGACAACTGGTTCTGTGTCTGGGTGTAATTTATTATACTTGCATGTATGTATTTATAAGTATGTTTACCAGCAGTCTGGTTGCCATTGTAAAAACTCTGCCTAATTTGAAATCAGATGACAGTGTGTGAGATGTGTAAGGTTATTATTATATAATTAAATATGTCCTGACTTAATCAGAAATTATAGAGTATAAATACATGTAGTGTGTCAATCTTGTTTTATTAAAGATACTTTATCAATAGACACATCACTGTGATCTCATTCATTGCATTTCAAAAGAAATGAGTCGACGACCTCACCCCTATTGTTTTAATAACCCGAATGGACGCATCTGTGACAAACATAATATAATACTTAGTAGGACAATGAACGCTCTTCTAAAACCTGTCTGGATCTTCGGTCTATTAGAGAGTGTGAGGAATAAATATTGGGGCGTATTTAAGGACGTACCTATACATAGTTTATTGAACTCTGAAAGCAAGTATGGACTCCGTGAATCTCAATACTTTCTTCTCTATTAGTGTTTCTAGATATTAATTTAATAAGCGGAACATAATTTTAAGAATCTCAAGAAGGAACTGCTGTGATTAATAAGTTTACTAGATATTTTTTTGGCTGTCAAAAATAATGTTAAAAATAAACATTACACATTTCGTCTGTATATGATAAGTATTTATAAGTAATTATGTACAAAGCGTTTAAGTATGTCAGAGGTCGTAAGAACTGACGGATAACTGGCGCCCAGTAACCCACCTACAACTCCATGGCCTATATTGGACTGAAATGATGATAATCATTTAGATGTTGATGTGACCGTGTAACGTTAACATCTTGGTAACTTTTTAATTTGTAATTTCAAAATAAAGTTAAAATTCCTCTAAAATTCAAACAAAAATCATCATTAACAATTAAGTCCTATAATTTCAAAAACTGCCGCCAATAAACACACATCAGCAACAGTAAACAATCCAGTTCAATTATAGTACATAAAACAAAAACAAAAGCCAAATAACAACATGATAATTACCGAAGGGGGAGGCAAGTGGTAAATTACTGGTAAATTTGGTAAATGACGGTATATTACTAGTAATTATTAAGTAAGTCTGAAGCGCTCTACAAATAGCGGTGCAATGCATCACTCCACCCCGTCGGCTAATTGAATATGTTATGTAGAGGGGTGGCGCTGAGATTTGTCGTAAATTATAACATTATGGCTTCAAATCGAGTGTTGGTGTCTTTGTGTTTCATTTTCTGAGACAATAGATAGTTTTGGGAATAATAAACGCGTGTGTGGTATATGATAGGTGGTGTATAACGGTTCCGAATATCATTTTAGTTCATACAGATTAAAATTAATCAAGGTGTTGGTGTAGCTAATATTTAAAAACCTAGTACTTACATACCTCCACAAAACCTCCTTTCTGAGGAGAGCCCTATGTCTAGCAGTGGACTGTTAAAGGTTGTTGATGATGATGATAGTACTTACATATTCTTAAAAACGTTTGTTTCCCTCTCTTTGCAGTGCTGTTATCCTATTTAGTTTGCTCCCTTAGTCGGCTCCAACGACACTCACGATATGAATCACGGTGGTGACACTCCATATTCTTAAACCGTCCTATTTGTCAACCGACTGCAAAAATACAATAATTGTAACTACATTATATTCATTTTATTTTACTTAGGAGAACGCAAATAAATATTTTGATCGTTGTTTGTTTTTCACAGGTATATGTTAAATTAGATTTGAAATGGGTAGGTACCTACCTATCTTCTTGCGCGGTTAACACATAGATCGTACCTACATATAGATGAGTAGAAAAAGTAAGTTGATTATTAAGTTGTAGAAGAATATGCATTTATTTTTTTCCTTTTTAGTGCATATTAATTTGTTTTGGAATAGTGTTTTTTGAAGTCGGTTTTTTTTTGTTAAAAATTTTTGTTTTTTTACTTTTGAGATTAAATAAATGAAGCCACCGTAGTAGACGTCATCGTCCACTACGGTGGTCGGTCATGCTTCTTATTAAGTACTAACCGTGTATTATCCTTTCAACTCTCCCCAGGGTCCATAGCATGATGTTAAATGGCCTCTAATCTGATTCATTGGCATTGCGTGAATGTGGTAGAATATTATTATTTTATTATTATGATTATTCGATAAATGTCTCATTTAGTACAAATTTAAATCTAACTGATAGGTTCAAATATTAACTTGTTCGAACAAACAATCCAAAAGTAAAGAACAAAGGAATACAATACTTTTCCTTCATTTTTTTAATCATTTTTGCATCATTTTTCGTTGATGCTCGGTTCCTATTTGCCGTGTGATGAGTGTGATGTTATATAGGAAATAGCCTTTCACGATAAACAAACCATCGAAAACTAAAATAATTTTTCAATTCGATCCAGTAGTTCCTAAGATTGGCGCGTTTAACTAAATAAACTTTTTAGCTTTATAATATTAGTATAGATTACATATATAGATAGTTTTTTTATTATGTGTACTTATGAAATTCATTCAAATATTTGTCTTTAAAAATACGAGCACCTATGAACTCTAAATAATATTTTATATGAAAATTTGCATCGATTTCCCTTTCAATTGAAGAAGTCGAATCCACCAACCGAGCATTTAATTTAATGTTAAGACACACTTCACAGCTCGTGTTTATATATATTGTTTATTCTTCTTACAAATTCTAAGCTTAGTGATGATGACATAATAGATTAAATGATCATTCGCCAAATTGATAGACAATATAAAGTATGAAAAATGAAATGCGTAGATAGACATACTTCGGGTTTTTAGCTTTAACACGTCTATAGGATACCACGAATGGCCCCGATTTTTAAATAGTCATTTGTTATTTCAAACCATCCACCACCAGTGTTGTAAGTTCATTGCTTTATGTTGTTTAATGGATTAATAAAGTTTGAGCGTTTCATTTTTCATTGCATTACGTATAATATTTTTTTACCGTGGGAGAGCCATGCTTCGGCACGAATGAGCCGGCTCGACCGGAGTGATACCACGGCTTCACAGAAAACCGGTGATAAGCAATTCTTTCGTTGCCTTTCACTGAGTGAATGAGGTTATCAGACCCCAAATCCCCCCTCCCGCTGACTCGAGTGGGAGGGACTCATAGGGCAGCAACGAACTTGTGACTTTTGAGTTCCAGGTGTCCATGGGCGGCGGTAGTTGCTTACCATCAGATGACCCGTTTGCTCGTTTGCCCCCTTATACCATAAAAAAAAATGATTGCCAGTTCTAGGTATTTTAAACATTAATTGTGTGCTTTTGTAGCATACGTTGACCAATCATTAACTTACGCCATGTCGATACAGGAAAAAAGTCTCCAGTTATTTCAACATCAGAAATTAGGCATAACATGCAATCAAACATATTATACCCGCACTTTTTCTCTACTCAAGACGTTTCCTGAAGTCTGTAATGTCATTGGGATTGACTTCAATCAATCAAAATGACATCACGGACTAAAAGAGCTCGGAGTTTATTTTGACATTAATTGAATGTGACGACGTGCTGCCCGCCATCACGACAATCCAACTTCATCTGCTCCACTCGTCTCACTATCGAGAACGTAAATACTACGTATTTGTTTAAAATGAATTCATACGTCGCTGGATTTATAGTAGCTCTGATCTTAGTAAGTCCCTTTTATTACATATTTATATTTGTAGTCTTGAAGACCACTTTGAGAGATGTTTTTCTTTGTTGTTTTAACTTCTCAACTGTATTAATTGATTAAATGACAAGACTGCGAAAATGTCTATAATTAATTTATGAAATTCTATGGTTACTTGCAGGCGCTATTGGTCATTGCATGGATAACATATTGCATGTTTGTAAAAGAGAAACACAAATCGGAGTTCTACCACCACAATATATCAGATCTGCAACGGAGGAACGAGATTCTTGGGCAGGTTGAAGAAACTGCACCGCAGGAAAAAGAAATCGACGTTGGCACCTTAGTTTTGCCTTCACGACATGAGAACAAAGATGAAGAATCTGAAAAGAGACTTAATAGTCTCCTTCCATCTTTTTGCTTACTGGATATTCATTATCCAGAAAGCACTATACATATATCAACACCCATCACTGAGAAGTTGATGGAGATATTAGATGACGGCGATACTGATGCCAACTACTGAGATTATGAAGTCGATTCTCCTTGCCAAATAATAATAATCAATACAGTACAAGTACCTCAATACGATAAACATTTTGTGCAATTTTAAATACATAACGTTTCTAGTATTTCAAATTTGTTTTAAATAAAACATTTAAATATTTTTTTGTGTTTTTATTTTGTAATGTAGTTAAAGCAAAGCAAAAAAAAATTTTGTGTTTGTTCATAAAAATAGTAATCTTCAATAGTTTATGAATAAATACAGATCGATTCCTTATAAACTTTAAAAAGAATCGACACCTTTAAAACTTTACTGGAAGTCAAAGCTGTGTGAGGAAGCAAACATATTTTTATGTACCTAGTAAAAAGTACTGGATCTCACTGCTTATCCTCTGAAACCCCTATAAATTACATTGTATTTGATAATTATATAAAAATCAATAAAACATTATACCTGACCAAACACAAATAAAGATTACAACAGGTATTTTTCTTTGTATCAACAAAAGATTACGAGTATAATAACGTGACGCGACGTGTCTTATAAATATTTGAATAAATGACCAGCTTAGAGTTCAATATTAGATTGACGCTGGTTTTTACATAACTGCTAATTGATAGCAAACAATTGGATATTGCGTGTTTATCCGTTGACCGAGTCTGCTATTTTATCGATGGTGCTCTTTTCCGTCGGTTTGAATACATTAACTACGGCTTCGCCAGCGTCATTCAAGGCCTTTGCCGCCTCCGTAGCCGCATTCTTCGTAGAATCCATAACGTCACGCTTCTCCCGACCCAGACCTATTTGCTCAAAGGGATTAGCTGCAACAATCACAATAAGCATCTGCAACAAAATAAATATATATTTATCAATTTGAATCTGAAGTAGCATAGCACTAAACAATAACATAAAATGAAAGTTATCTGCCTCGACTGCATGAATGGCGTGGTAGTTTATGTGGTCACTTCGCTTCTTCCTACTGCGTTGAGTGTTGTGGGTTCGATCCCCACATGGTACAACACTTTATGTGATACAAAAAATTGTTGTTATAAGTCTAGGTGATCTGTGTATCCGTTTCATGTATATTTATTAAGTCCCCCGCGACACAAGATACATTCCCAGTGCGGGAGTTGTCTCTTTGAAATAAATAAATATATATGGATAGTTTAAATTATAATTGGCAGTCATATTTAACACAAAAATACGGAAAGCATTTGATTTCAAGAACGGTAAGATTACAAGCGGGCTTTTGACAACCTTCACTCATTAGACAGAACCCAGTTGAATACTGAGAGCCTTTTGATAACAATGAGGTACACATACTTACAATATCTCCTTCTGTTTTTAGCTTTCTTTTTTATTCATTAATTGTATTTTTTCTTTTAGACACCTTGGGCTTCTAAAGCCTGGCCATGTAAGCCATCTATGTTAATTTTACTTTTAATCTTGTGTTTTGTTTGTCCTTTATTTATTTCTACATAATACTCAAAGATAACTTGACACTACACCTTTATTTTATTTTTAAAATTTTTGTTCTCGTTGTCAAATTTAAGCTGTGAATTTTCTATCAGGAAAACCAAATAAAATTTGCACACTCACATAAATAAGGTGTATTACTTGGGAACAACCATTCTCTTACTCTTTGTGTGTGTGTGTGTGTGTTCATAGCTGTACAATGTTAGTATTGGTTGTCTGTCGCTGTTGGTTGTTAATAATAAGCTGGTACATATTAGTGAAAGTAATCGCCTCTTTGTATGGTATTAAATCAACAATAAAAATATATATTACCTGCCTAGTTGTTAAAGGAATATTAATAAAAACAAATAAAAGTACTTACAATGCAGAAGAAAACTGATAGTCGATAACCCATTGCAACTTTTTTAGTGTTGTTATAATGGTCAACTACTATACTGTCGATGGAAATACCGCAATTGTTGTACTGACTGGACGACGTGTCAAATCCTACTGAACAACTGAGCACAAAGGATTAACAGGAAGACCTGATTTGATTTCGCACGTACGTGTGTCACACTAATAAGACCAGTAGGAAAGTTACTGGGTATAATAGACGGTGACGCACAATTGCCGTAACAACGATCATCAAACTTTTAAAATAATCACGAATCGTAATAAAAATCATGTGTGAATTTCTTACTTACATATGTGGAGGAACGGATGTCATGTCCCTCCAACACAAAGGGAGAATCCTACGACCAGGCGAGGTGATCATGCCTGGCCTGGTTGATGTTGGGAAGTTGCATTTATGTTAATCAGTGAGAGAATTCTTCATATCGCGATACAGGATTAGCATTCAGTAGTTACTCCTTAGTTCGATGTGACTTCGTTAGATGGCGTTGTTGTATGTTTCTGTTTCTTTGTATGTGGGAGTCGCCACACTCATATCCATTTCATATTCACAGTTTAGATCTCATTAGAAATCTTCATATGTACATGATACATTGAGAATTTACTCTTTACGGTAACTATTTGCAAATATCAGTTCTGCTCGATTCTTGACGTTATGATGGGTGGAAGATATATGTTTAAGGTTGTATTTATTGTCATCGGCAGTAAATTCTTTGTTGTAAATCTTTCTGGATTCATTTATAATGATAGCAATCATAACAAGTAATGACCGCGATATACGGTTTCACTGGACTTAAACTTATTTTCAGTGAATACACTTGAATGACATATAAGTTGACTTTATTTCCTATATAATGCAGAAGAGGAATGAGGAATGCCAATGTCTCTTCAATGTTTTTAAAATATTTTATTATTTTTGCTCTCAGGATGAAAATATATTAAGTAAGTTATCCTAATAAGATAAATAAAAATAATAAAATATTTTAAAAAATAATTTTCTGAAAAATACTATTGTGATTAATTTCATAATTCTTGGCGTTTTTTCCTTGTAATCACTGTAGCGCGAAAGTGATGGTGGCTTTAGCTAATTAGTTTAAACAGGCTTGTAACATTTTTCATGTGCCAAAGGAATGGGCAATGAATGTAGAATATTTTAAAAGAGAACCCAGTAGAGACACCCTTACTTAAAAAAACTCCTTAAATAACATTGACGGAACTAACGGGGACAGTTTGTCCTCTATTAAATCTAGGTATCCCACCAAAAATATTTTCATGTAAAATGCTGTGATAATGATAGCTAGCTAGGAATGTGCGACGGTAGCGAAACTGCCAAGCCACATATTTTTGACGGTTCCGCCTTTTATGACTACTCGAGTAATTCTCCTACTCTGTAATCCAGGTAGGGCCACGGATCCCAAAAGGTATAGGCTAGTAACGTGTCTTCTCTATACACATAATTAACAGTAGAGATTTTGAGAGTGAAGATAACATCTTATATTACGTACAACTCTATTATGTCTCATTCTCAGAATGGATGTAGAAGTGGGGCACGTGGCAATAAAGAGCTCTTTATTATTGAGCTAATATTAACCAAAAAAATCTGGTGACATGTTTGATAGGTTATAAAAAGACCTATGATAATGTGCCGCATACGTGGCTCCTGACAGTGATGGAGTTAATACAACTCTATGCACTTTTTATGAACATGTATGCAGCAATGCAGAACCGTTCTTTGCTATCCAGGATGTCGGCACTCTCAAGGTGACGGCGAGTATATAAAGATTAAGAGGGGTAAACTTCTGGGTGACAGTTTGAGACCCTTGTGGTTTTGCTTGGCTTTGAATCCTCTCAGCACTATGTTGGAGGGTTCAGGGCTAGGATATCGTTTGCTGAGAAGTAGTAAGGTTATATGCTACCCGCTTTTCATGAATGATTTCAAACTGTTTGCCTCCAGTTATTAAATACAGTTAGAATTACTGGAAGTAATTAAAACGTTTAGTGAATGTATCAGGATGGAATTTGATGTACATAAAGATAAGTTAAAGGGAATTCAAATTTGCGTTAGTAAAAAAAATCAAATATTGTCCGAAAAAGTGTCCAATATTTATTATAAACTATACTGTTTACAATATAAAACTACATACTTTGAGGACCATTGTCAACTCATTTAGATGTTATTATGGCCTTTGAACTTATGTTTTGTACGCGATGGTTTAACATTTTATGCAATGTTTTTATTTTGACACCGACTTATACGAAATTATTAATAGTGCTTATTCTCATCTATACAAATAAATAAAACATAATGTCATAAAAATAATAGGTTGTAATGTCAAAATAATAGTTTTTTTTCATGCTCACACGGTTATTTGCACGATACCTATGTCTAAAAACCATTTTTTTGTCTGTCTTTCTGTCTGATTTTGATAAAATTTTACTACCAGGTAGCTGTCTATATAAGGAATAACATATTTATTAACCGACTTCAAAAAGAAGAAGGTTGTCAATTCGGATGCTTTTTTTTATGTGCTATAAGTTATAACTTAAAATTATTTTTTGTTCGAAAGGGGTTTATTCCAAAATGGTCCCACATTAATTTCATATAGATCTGATGATGAATTTTGGAGACAGACAACTAAAACTTTTCAAAAAAATGACAGCAAATCGACCGCGATGGCTGCTAGGTTTTTAGTGTTCTTTGCTAGTATTAGGGCTCTTTGCGAATGAGACACAGGTGATCTCTAAAGCACTATTTGCGTCAGTGTTTGGTGTTACTTATGACCTTACTTTTCTACTCTGAATCCATCTATTTGTTACCTTTGTCACGGTACTATTATAATACAGTACTGCAACTTCATACAAACGGACGAAACGGGAGCTATACCTACGCGCCTCGATCTCGGGGTGCGCTCGGGGCGCAGACAGTCACGGCTGTACCGCAGTGTCGAACGGACTGCGTGTTGTTTTTTTAACAATAACCGCGCGATTTTTTCTCTAAAAATCAGTTAATATGACGAGTAGGAAATATTGTGCTGTTTTTGGTTGTATGAATTCGTCAATAACGCATCCAGACATAAGTTTTTTTAAATTACCTGGAAACTCTGAAAACTAAGACTATAAAATAATTTTACTTACTAGTACGTAGGTACATAATGTGTGTCTTTTTAATGGATAAGTATTTCCTTTTATCTCACGAAAAAAAAGGTGTTTGGATGAATAAATAAAGCAAATAGAGTAACGGAAAGTTATTGAGTCGAGTGAAATAGGGAGTTACATGCGGTTACATACCTACTTACGCTTGTGTTAAAACTTCGGTGCATGTTTGTTTTGTTACTTTGCATAATTCAAAAAAAAGAAAATTCTACTTAAAGACGTGGTATTTTATTATTAATAATATATCTTTATTATCTGTGTGTATGAATAATACTAAAAAAAATTTGTTACCGTCTGTGTGTCATTAGACAGTTTTCGAAATTTTCACAAAGTGTTTCTGCTGCTACTATAACAACATATACCACTAAAAACTGGTTTTATTTTCTCGGTATTAACAACAACAGCTAGACTCATATATAATATTTAGATGTTTGAGGGTTGTGATTTTAAAACATTCGTAGTCAGCTGTTCAGCTTTTTAATAATTAATTAATTGGTGACCAAAGAATTTTTGTTTTGAGTTGTTGCGAGTTGTAGGTTATAGGTTAGGTAATTTATAGAGACGTTAATTAGCTGAGATAAAAAGTTACTTACTCGTCAGCTGTTTCTTGCATTCTAGTTGAGTAGGTGGTAGGTGTTGGAGTTTCTAAGGATTGGAGTTTTGTAACGCGTATGGAGAAAGCACATTTATTATATTTTATAGAAGGATTTTTTTCGGACGCAAATTTATGGGCCCGATTGGTTTTTCAAACAAAAAAATGTTTTTTAATTAAATCTACCAATCAAAAATCAACACGCATTTTTATTGAACAATTCCTATTCAATATACAAAGTATTTCATTTATTTATATAAAAAGGATATTTACAATCACAAATCTAAATAGAAACAGAAAGTAGGCAAATATCACTAAAATGCTGGAGACGGGCAGCCCTAACGCATGTTTACGTACCGCGCGGCTGTAGGCATTTATTTCTATCATGCGGCCGAGTTACAATACTGTATTATAATAGTACCGTGCCTTTGTCTTGTATGAAATACCCGTACGCATATTAATTAAAGTGTTAACATTGTTGTAAATACAAAATATAATCTATTAGTAAAGTATGACTCATAATAACATGATAAGGAACGTTCATTTCTTAAGTGTAGCTGTAATTGAGGTGAGTGTGTGTTATCTGGTAGTTCATTTTGAATATAATTATTGCTTTATAATTGGTTAATATGTATTATCGGAATTGCAGAAGACTCCGAATAAAGACAGACCTATTTGCCTAATCTGTTTATGAGCAATTATGATGTTATTTCGTTAGCAGAGACGTGGTGTGGCATTGCCGATAGTCAACTTTTTGACAGAAGGTATTTAGTATATCGCCGCGATAGAGATTGCGACTTAACACAGCAGTCTCAGGGTGTCGAGGTGTTAATTGCGATTCGTCGGGAATATAAAAGTAAAAGTAAGCTGAAGGCATATAGGTAACATTAACATGACGTAATCCTCGTAATAGAAAGTCAATTAAGTTTCTTGTAATTCGATTGTAAAGGAGACGAATTTCTAATAATCAAATATTGAGTGAGAATTGAGACCAACCGGCAGGACAATATTGTAACAAAAGAAAACCCAAAGTAATAATATTGCTTCCCATCTATTCTGGGCCTCAATTCTGCTATTTTGTTTTCACGCCAAGCCACTGTCATACCGATGACACGCTGTTGAGATGCCATCGAGTGGCCATTGGCATCGGTATAAATATCGGTAGTCTACACTCAGTGTCTTTACAGTGGCGATGGAATGGCAGTGCTCAGAGGCCCTGATAATGTTACATGTTATCAGCGTTAACATTCAGCATTCAA